TGAGCGAATAAAAATTTTGATAATTTGACGATTTTTAGGTTACCATATCGCCTTAAGGGTAATTGAAATCCCGGATGTTCAAGTGTTAAATTAAAATAAATACGGTATTAGTAAAACAATGATTTGTATGTTATGTGCATTTTGTTCATCACAGGAAAATATAAGCATACCAAGGTTTAAGTTATAAAAAGGCGAGCTTATTATAAATTTTAATTTCCTTAAGCTCGTTTCCCTACGTAAATAATTCTTTATACATTAATAACTTAAAATAAAATGATTAAAATCGGTAAAATAAAAAAAATGTATATATTTTTTCCTTCTAACTCCGCTGATGTAACAAGAGTAAATGTTATTTCAACGAAGCAGAAGATTTTCCTCGTGAGAATACTTTTAAATTGGTTACGTCCAAGGCGATAACCATTAACAATAAAGGCAAGTAACTAATTTTTCTGCCCATTAAGCTGATTTCATTGATCGCTTTAACGTCATTGTTCAGGAATGCTACTGTGTAAGAGATTTGTTAAGTGATTAAGAGGAAAAAATTAATTGTGTTTAAAAGTTGTTAAAGGTGTAACACTGTTGTTTAAAGCGGTTTTTAACCAATTAAGGCATTTCTTTTTATCTTTGTATCTTTTTTCTATGTGTATCTTACTATTAAAAGTATTTTAAAATTATTAGTTAATGACATTAATAAAGAATTTATTGATACAATAACAATGAAAGATCATTTGAATTGAGAAAGTAAGGTTAATAAATATTTGAAGTTAAAGGAATATAATATTTTAATAATATACTAATTATACAATTATAATTAGAACTGGTTGAAGTTGGTATTTGTATTTATATTAAATATAGAAAGAAAACTATGCAATTTGAAACAATTCATTCATATCATTATAAATATTTATGAATGACTAATTTAACAAAAAAAAGAAAATGATTTTTAAGTAAATGCAAATAAAATAAACTTAACACTTAAAAAAAAACATTTTTTTAAACTGGTATGAAATAGGAGCAATTCATGCACAAATAATTTATATATGCCTTATATTCACAGGTACACTTTAATATATTACGGAAATTTGAAAATTCTGTTGTCCCAAAAGGAAAGCAAAAACATGATTTTATTTTAATATTTCAAATAAATATTTTCTAGTTATTATTTGTGTATTTTTAAAACTTTATAATTAATTCGTGAGTTCATATTCACAATACTAGTTGTTTAAAAATAAAGTTGACTCCTTTCTTCTGTGATAATGTACATAGACGATTTTAATTTGATATATTTTCCAAAAATATTTGTAAATTATGCTAATATTTTGTTCTATTTATTTTACCTAATAATATTCTCATTTTAAAACAACTAATGTGTTTCTAAATAAATACTAATTGTTAATGTATCTGCAAAATTTGGATCACAGTAGACCTCATAATCGTGAGTACAAACAATCAGGAGAGATATTACTAATTTCTTTAATAAATTTGGCAACTCTGACAAAAAGCCGATCGAAAGCATCGAAAAATATACTCCTGATTTTAATTTCCACAAACCCAGATCAATATTAATTAATCTTTCTTTTCTTTAATTCATAAATAGAGTCTCTTTTATTTATAGTATTTATCTTTTAGTTTTATTCTTAAATTCTCTCCATTTACTACTCAATGATTGGTCGAGCCTTACATCTAAACTTAAAATAAAAAACAACCGAATTATCTGATCAGCGATTCGCAGAAGCTCCACTCGATGCCAACTAGTTTTAGTCTTTTATATGCAAATATTTTCTATCTTTAACTCGAGCTCCTTTTCTGCAACTGGAATCGTTAGGCATCGCCTCACCCATTCCCATCACGAAACTTTTTTCTAAGTCAAGATATTTTTCATCAATTTGTATCTTTATTATATTTTTTATTTGTAAATTCAAACATATATCAACGTAATTTTTCTTTTTAATATTTTCATTAGTTATATTTTAAATTTTAAACATTATATATTAAAAAAGGGCAATTTGAAAGTGTGTTAATGTCTTCTAAAATGTCCTGAATGGTCGTGATGGTTCTGAAGAACTAAGTGCTCTTACCACACCAAACTACAACTACTATTTGAGTAGTTTTGGCTTTGTTGCAGCAATGGTTCATAATATTCTCATTTGTTATTCTATTTTGCAAGTAAAATCTGTTCAGTAATTATAGAAAAGAAAAAAATAAGTCTGAGTAAAAACTTCTGCATTCTATTCTTTTCCAGCACATTAGGTAAATATCAATATCGCAAAACCTGTAAAAGTCTATTTCCGTGGTAAATGAATAATCATGATAAAAATTGGGATATTATTTTCGGTATAATTCTGCACCAGACATTCTTGAAACTTGACAAAACCAGTGTAGCTTCAGAATTACCGTAAAATCCGGGGTATAACGCGCCCACTCTTTTTACGAAGAATCCTGAAATGTGTGGGCAAAACAACTTTCTTCAGGGCATTATTTCAAGCTTTAGTAAAATTAATATCTTTCTTGAACTATAACCCTTTAAGTTATCTGACTACCCTAAAACTGTGCATTTTGCAAAGTGTTGACAGATATTTTATGATTTTATTTTATATGTCATCTTAAGCTTCATAAAAATACACATTTTATAATTTTCCGTTCCCTAGAACACAAACTGCAAGTGTTTTAGTAAAAGCAGATACCATTTACTATAAGCAAAATGACATTTTATTTGAAAATGCTCAAACGTGGACAATGATTGCTCAGAAAATTTTGAAAGTAACTAAATGATATTTTGTGTGTATATTTTGTATAATAGAAGAAGTGTATTAACCTACAGATTTATCAATCAGTGCTCTACTAAAAAAATTAGAGCCCTTATGTGAATATAATCACTGTTTTTTCAAGCAATTTCATTTAAAAACTAAGATTAAATGCTCTAGTTTATATAAAAATTAAAATAGCTCTGATCCTGATGGGCATTTCAAAAATGAATAACAAAACAACACATCAGACTTGAAAAACTGAAAATTTGTTCACAAACTTTTGTTACAAAATGGACCCCATTTTAGTGTTGTTGTTTTTTTAGCAAAATTTTACCAATTTTTTCCCATTTTTTAGTAATAATAATTTCTATTTCACTTCCTATTTTTAGCGTATTTTATTTAAATACATTTACATAGAATTATTGCGTGTACTTAATTATACTTATTTGCATAAAATGTGCTAAGCAAACCTAAAAACGACAAAATAGTTGGACACCAGCTTAAGTTCATAAAAAATGCCATGCCTTTAATTAAACAGAATTTCAATACATGTAGAAGTTGAATTTTTTTCAATGTGCATATCTCTTTTTTTTTCAAATTTAAGGCTATTATTTTCATACTGGTGCACGACGCGCACCCATAAATTTCGAACTATTTATTTGAGTTAAAAGTCCGCGTTATACGCCGAATTTCACAGTATTTATTGTTTGTAATTATTTTAGATTTCTGATTAAATTAAGGTTTGTGAATATTATAAATTGATTTTTTGATTTCAAAAAATATGAAATTGGAAAATAATTAATGCAACTTAGTATCATAAAAATATCGTGAAGGAAAACTTGTCGTGACATGGACATCGCGGATGGGGGAGAGATTGAGGAAGAAGCAGACAGGAGCTTAGAATAAGCAATTCAATATGCTGATTGACGAGAACCTTTGAACTATGCGTGCCACGTGTGGTCGCGCATTATCCTGCTGAAATATGGCTGTGGCCAAGCCCTGAAGGTAAGGAAGGACAACTGGTTCCAACACCTCGGAGATGTAGCAATGGCTGTTAAAAGTACCAGCAATGCGTACTATAGAGGAGTGCGAGAGTGATATCCAATACCGCCCCATACCATTATATCCGGTGCAGGACCAGTGTGGCTGTGCATAACGCAGCTGTTCAGCATCCTCTCTCCATGGTGTCTCCAGACTCGAATCCGACCATCGTGATGTTGCAGACAGATGCGTGACTCGTCAGTAAAGACACATTCATTATATTTTGCCACCCACATCCTTCTTTCATCGCACCATTGGCAGCAGAGACGTCTGTGGCTCAGCGTCAAGGGTAGACCAAGCAATGGATGTCTTGCGGACAGACCACTCTGCTGTAAACGGCGTCGAATGGTACGCTCAGACACTGAATGATGCGTTACAGACTCAATGTGCTGTGCTATGGTTCGCGATGTGACTGAGAGATCAGTCACTGCCATGCGCACAATTTGCCTGTCCTCACGTGAAGTGGTGCACTGAGGTGGATGTGATTGACCACGTCGGTCCGTCGTACCCTCCTGCATCCAACGATTATTTATCCGCATTACAGTTGTTTGGTTTTGTCCAACACGACTACCGATTTCCTTGAAATATAATCCACAATCTCGGTAGGCCACTATTCTTCCTCTGTCGAACTCGGATACCTGATCAAAAGCTGATCGCTGTTTTCTACGAGACATAACTGATCGTTTTTTGAAAAAGCCACAAGAAAAACACAATTGCTGAACTTGAAATCGTCTAAATCTCCAAGCCTTAAACAGCACTTTGAGGTGGTGCCACATGCGTGCGTGATGTGTGTCTGCGATGAAATTCTAATCATTTGCATATCTCACCTCCGTAATGCATGTTGTAAATTTCATGTTATCTGCGTGCTTCCTTCAGGGTGCTGTATTTACGGTGGCCAGCAATGTACTGTTTGATTGATGCCCTGGTATAAAAATAAGTAATGTAAAAAAAGTCCTTTCTTACTGAGGTCAACAAATAAAAATATATTTTTGTTAAATAGTTATAATTAATATAATTTTGCATACACATATAACAGTATCGTAATATTAAGTGGAAAAGTAGAAAGCGATTTTCCTTACTATATTTTTCAGTTTCCTTTCTATATATGGTGTTGAACTATTTTTTGTTTGCTGTTATTTATTCGTTAATTAAATTTAATTATTTGAATAAAATAGTATTGTATGAAATAAATCGCATTCTCGGAAACTAGACCATCCCAGGTGAGATTGGAACTCACGACCTTTGAGATAAAGGTCCAGCATGCTATCCATTGCATGGCAGGGACCCAACAACCGATTTTACTTTCTATATATGCTGTTGGACTATTATTTGTGTTTGTTACTATTCATTTAATTACCGAATTAATATTTGGAAAAACTGTATGAATATCAAGTGTCCTCCATTACAAGTTTAAAAAAATGTATTTCAACTTGATAAGATGAATAGAAAGTATCTAATTAACGAAAAATTTTGAACAAGATATATAAACATATATATATATATATATATAGAGAGAGAGAGAGAGAGAGAGAGGGATAGAGAGAGCTAATAGTATGTTTGAATGACAGCCTCGCGAGAAAAAAAAATCAAAAGAGGAAAAAAAAAGTTTTTCTTTAAAAAATCATTCTAAACCCACTCCCCAAATTTAAAAAAATTCAATTACAGAAAATTTAAAAAAAATAATAATTATAAATTAAGTGAAAATAGTATCAACATATTCAGTTATGAATAAACTATAACTTAGTGTGTACTAATTCACAGAGTATGTAAAATTATTAAAATATGCTGAACTGGAAATATTTGATGAACAATGACATCAGTGAAATACATACCGAAGTAATTTTCTGAATGAAAATAAAAGGTTTCAACCGAATTGAATTCATTCAACTCTAAATACTTAGGGTAATTATTGCTGTGGAAATATTTTCAGAATAGTTTTAGAATTCCTGGAAAATATTTGGAAGATTGTAGTTGCTGAAATTTAATTAAATCATTATAAATTTCTCTACACTTCAAATGTAATTTTATGTAAAATTTTCTGAAAGTGAATTCGGAACACTTTCCAATATTGAAGGGTTTCATATTTTTGCATTTACAGTAGACCGTCGTTTATCCGAATTAATTGGGACCAGACACCGTTAAGAAACGCGATTGTTCGGGTAACCTTAAAACCGAATGTGATTTATGTAGTACAAAAAAGTGGACACTGTCAGTGAGTGTAGTGTTTAATGGCGCAAGAGAAAACGAACACTGTACAGATATTGAAAATCATTTCATGCGGAAATGTGCTTGAAGAAAAAATAAAATAGGTGCAAAATGTCGCAATTTTACCTTGATTGTGGAAAATTACGACTTATTTTTCGCTGTACCATTGTACACTTTCCTTTCTACACTGAAAGGTCTCTGATTCTCTTGTGCAGCAGTAGTTGAGTAGGACAGCACTCGGATTGTTGTTCGTACCACTCTATAGCTGTCTCTAACATAGATAACCCGTCAGCGTTTGATAGGCCCTTGCTACTTTCGTTGTTGTTGTCTTCGTCCTCATCCGTTTCATCGTCGACAGGGTCGGATTCTTCTTGCATGGAAGTCACTATTTTGTCATTATTTAGCATTTAAAATCCACAGTCTTCTGCGTCACATACCATCCAGGTTTCTGCATCAACAAAACTCAACAAAAGAGCGCGTATACACCCTCTCACTTGGAAACAAACTGACCCAATATTCCGCGCAGATGTTTACCCAATCACATAACTGAAATCTCCCAAATATCCCTCACCTCGGGTTTCCCGTCACTTTTGGTCTCACGTTGAGCATTGCAATGTTCGAAAACATGTGCAATGGCTTCTGAAGCTAAAAATTATCGCATGAAAAAGAATATTTTATGGTGTTAAAAGTCATATATATATATATATATATACATGTATATATGTGTGTGTGTGTGTGGTGTGTGTGTGTATATGTAAATATGTTATTCATTCTTTTTTAAACAATATGCATACATTTAAACTTAATAACAATATTTACATTTTAGATCAGAATTGATATAATTTGAGTTACGTTCAGTAGTATGTGTGTATCTTCATTAGATTTCAGAGATATCGTCCATCGAAAGTTTAATTCCCATGTCTTAATACACATGCAATCCAAATCTTGTGCATTTATGATTTTGAACTCCTCAGACGCTAATGAAACAAGACTTATCCACCAATGAGAACCTCACACGCACGTGACCACAGATCAAACATTTGAAAATGATCTTAAGTGATATCTTTGGTATCACTTTGGTATGACCTTAAGTATCACTTTGAATTCCTACTATGGTAGGTATATTCTACTTAGGAATACCACTGATCTATATTATATGTCTGTAGTTTATTGCAAAACTTTGAATATTTGTGGGTTATGATTGTATATCATTAAAACATTTGTATGTGTTTCATATAGATATAACATGAATGGGCATAGACAACCACACTATAACTTCTATCTTTCTTGAAATTAAATAATTTAGGAAAACGTCTTTATGCTTTAAATATATGTCAAATGATTATAACTGAACATAGAATTTTAAAAATATATATTTTAATGCTAAAGTTATATTCCAGTGTTAATTTAATATTTCGAGCCCAGAATGTGTGTGTGTGAGCGTTGTAATATTAGTGTAAGTTAATCTTTGATCCATGAACGTTGCAATCAGTATGATTTAAAAACATCAAAAAAATTAAATTTGAATTTTAACATCTTGAATAACGAATAATTATATAATAAGGCACCAAATTTAAAATTCGTAATTTTTGATTAAAATACAATGTAGAATTTATAATACGAAGGTAAGGAATAGAATGATTCGTAATGAAATAAGCTGCTAAAATGTGTTTCATTAGTGAAAATAATAATAAACTATTGGTGCTAAGGTCATAATCTATAAAATGAAATCTCCAATTTTTGACACTAAGCAAAATTATCTGTAATTATTATGACATTTAAGACAAATTTCTAGTTTTTAATTATAATAAATATTTACCCATAATAATAAAAATATTCTCGAAAATATTTTAAAATATTTTTATCATCTACCATGTGTTTCTTCTCAGTAAAAAAACTGACAAGTGTTGTTGTCAAACCAAACCTCAGTAAAGATAAGTACATAAGTTTGAGTCTACGTTATATTTGTTGTAGGTTAATCAAAATTGTTACATTGCTTTAGATTAAGGTGATGTTTAAGTTTCAAAGTTTAAACTTGATTATAAAAATCTGAAATACATGGAGTTTATCTAATTTTAGTAATAAGAAAATAATTAATGATGTAGCAAAGCAAATGAAAAACCTCCGAGTTTGTTTTTTCTTTCATTGAAAATATATTAAGGATTTAATAAAAACATTTACTAGTGAATATCATACCGAAACTAAAAAAATTGCAATCTGAATGCTTAAAGGTGAAATTCACTAAAGAATTCACTGATCACTTATATTTCTATTTATTTTTGTGTTTCTCTTTAGATTTTAGACTGCATGAAATTTGTTAAAATCGGTTTCCTTTATATTCAATATATATGAATCATATTCATTTTGCTCTTAAGTACTCAACATTTTAGCACCGAAAAATTATTTATCATTTCATAAAAGTTAATATCTTATTATTTGCCTATTTCGAAGAAAATATCAAAAGGAAGTTAGCAATTGTTGCTACATTCACGTAAGGACGTTGAACTTCGACAGATTTAATGTGAAGTGGCCCCATATACATAGTTAGTCTTCAGCGGCATTGGATTCGAACTCATGACACGCCATCCACGAGTCATTGACTTTTACCACTAGCCTACCCCGGCCTCTCGATACAATTAAGAATAATAATAAAAGTTTATAATCACTCTTTGATTATTTATAACTTTTCTTCCATGTCAAAATTAAGGTATCTGAATACTCTTAAATTATTAAATTTGCCCAAAATAGAGAAATTGCTTATGGCTTTATTTTATACGCAATCTTATTGGATTTTTTAAAAAAAATTATCAAGTTTATAATTTTCTGCGTTCACTATAGCAAAATTTACGAGTGCTGCTGTAAAAGTAGATGCCACTACTTTAAGCAAAGTGTGATGCTTTTAAAAGGCATTTTACTCGAAATGTATTTTTTGAAATGTTCAAACAGGGCCAGCGATTGCTAAAAACGTTTTGAAAATAATTAACTGACATTTTTTGTGTGTGTTCTGTATAATAGTAGAAGTGTTTTAACAATCAGATTTATCAATCACTGTTTTAATACAAAATTTGCAGTCTCTTATGTTAATATAATCACTGTTTTTTTAAGCAATTTCATACAATAACTAAGACAAAGTTCTCTAGGTTTTTGTTAAAATTAAGATATCTCTTTTATTGATGGCCTTTTGAAAATCAACAACATAGCAACACATCAGAATTGAAAAATTAAACATTTGCTCATAA